ATCAGCCATAGATATATTAGAGCAAAAAAAAAAAAAAAAAACCGAGAGAAATATTCCCCTTTTTGTATTTGAATTTCCCTACCCTACAAAAAAAAAGAAATTTATTTAATTCGAATAATGACTATTATCAAAAAAAAATATTTATTTGTATTAATTTTTATTTCGACCCCTTCCCGTTGATAAAATCGGATTTAAAAGAAAATTTAATTAACTCAAAAATTGTTTCAACAATTTTAAATTTCAAAATAAAAATTTCAAGTCACTGAAACAAATATTAATGCGAAAATATAATTGAAGACGAAAAATTAATTTTTATTTCGACCCCTTCCGTTGATAAAATAGGATTTAAAAGAAAATTTAATTGACTCAAAAATTGTTTTAAGAAACAATTTTAAATTTCAAAATAAAAATTTCAAGTCACTGAAACAATATTAATGCTAAAATATAAAATTGAAGACGAAAAATAAATATAATTTCGCAGAAATATATAATTTTTTGAAGAAATAAATAATTTCTTGAAGAAATAAATAAAAGTTTGATATAATATATGAAGAAATTAAGTAGCAAGTAAAAAGATTCAATGTACACATGGAGTTTCAACTATTTAAGAGAAAGAAGTTATATCGTCGAGAACCGGGGGAAAAAAAAGTTTAGAAGAAGACATTATATTGCTCCTAGCGAGTATGGCGTGTACTTGAAAATTGGTTCTTCTTTGCGATTCACGCGATAAGTTTATTATACAGAGAGACATAAACTCCAAGGGGTATATCATGGGTGGAGAGGTAAAACAGAATTTTTTTTTTTTTTTTCTTTCCTCGGTGGTATGCCTCCAAATCGACACATCCGGTCGAGAGAGAGAGAGAGAGAGAAAATGATTGCTTACAAAATTGTTCATAATGTAACGAGTTACTTTGCCACTGTACTGTAACAAAGTACACGGAACACCTTCAACAATAATTGTCTCTTTTGCCCATTAAAAAAACAAAACTATTGTCTTTGCTCACAATTGTTATAGCGCTCATCGGAAGTTTAAAAATTGTCATATAATCAATTTCGAATCGCTCCAATTATACAATTTTTCAAAATAGATCATTTTTCCCTATGTACAAAAATCGTAACCATTTTTTAAGAAAAAAAAAAATTCTAATTTTCGGAAAATTTCACAGGGAAATTAAAAAAAAAAAAAAATCTAAAGGATATACAATTTTCCGAAGGAAGACCAATCATCTTATTAGTGAGATGAAATCAGTGTGTGTTCCCCTATTTTTGTAAAAATTAGTACGATTCTTATCAACTGGTTCTTAAGACAATAAGACGTCGATACAGACGGCGTTTCACCATATTCAATCCTTGAAAAAGAAAAAAAAAAAAAAAAAAAAAAAACGAGAACAATGGCCTATCTGTCGATCTTTACAGCTTGGCGAAAAAAAAGTGATCTCGCTAAATTACAAAGAACCACCCACCCACGTGAGAAAACCATCCAACCACAAATATGAAAATAGAAAAAAAAAACCAACATCCCTTCGCATAGATCCTTTTCACCGCGAGAATATTTGCATTAATGATAACTAGTCACAAACTCAAAAAAAATTGAATCGAAATTTCAACTAAAATTCTCAAAATTGAAAGAAATTAATTTTCAAATAATTTCAGGATTTTTAATATCGAGAACCTCTCGAGGAAGTATATATATATATATATATATATATATAGTCTGCGAATGTAAGAGGTCGCTGTACACACATATATGGGAACGAAATAGCCGGCAATTTGCAGTTTTACGAGTTATTTCACAATGGCTGCAAAGTATAGTTCTACAGTATTATATTGGTTCGAGAATCGAGATCCCGCGTGTGTTCAACGAAAAGAGTATGTGTGTGGGTACATTACTTTGTTGGTACAGTGAAAGAGAGATACAAGCAAAGGAGCTTCTCAAACACATATAGTTTTATTTTTTTTATATATATATATTCGAGATTGCCTTCTGGCTGGACCAGAATGCATCAAGTCCTGGGACCCCTATTTCAAGACAATAACCAAACTGACTATAAACCTGTCGGAGTTACTTTCATCCTCAGCGAGTTATACCATCATCATAATATAATATCACAGTGTGTATGTGTGTGTGTCTAGACTTCGAATCTTGGCCATGTTAATTCGCGAATGCCAAATCGAATCAATCGCCCGCAAAATCTGCCTCCATTTTATAATAATGCGATTCTAAAAATTAATAATTTTTCATTAATGAGCACAGTTTTCCATTTATTGAAATTTCATTAATTAAAATTCGTTTAATTTATAACCAAATTTTAATTTAATCGAATTTTCATTTAATACAATTTTAAGTACTTTGAATTTTTAATTGCTCAAATTTCCAATTCACTGAATTATAATTTGTCCAAATTTTTTTTATTGTACAAATTTTTATTTAATAAAATTCTTAAAATGGCAAATTTTTCATTTAGTCGAAATTGCAAATGACCGAACAAATAATAATCGACAGAATTCGAAGCTATGTTTTTAAAATTTACCAATCACAATTTTATTGATTATTTTTTATTATAATCAATTTCAAAAATCGCAACGAAATATTTTTTTTGACCATTTGCAATTTCAAATAAATAAAAAAAATTTCCATTCTATTAAATAATAATTCGGGTAAATAAAAAATTCGAATAAATAAAGAATCGGTGAATTAGAAATTTTTACATTTAAAAATTCGTATTACTTAAAATTATGTTGAATATAAGAATTATGCTTAATTAAAATTCGGTTAAATTAGAATTTTTTTTTAAATAAAAAGTTGGATAAACAGAAATTCAGTGAAATAAAAATTCTGTAAAGTAAAAATTCGTTTTAAAGTTAATTTTGTCAAATGCTATTTGGATTTGCTATTTCAATTCTTCAAAAAAAAATAGTTGTTTTATATTCTATAATATGAAAAAAGAGAGAAAAAATGTTTAATTATTTAATTTTTTAACAGAATTCAAAATTTTGAAATTCAAACAGTCGAACATTTTTTTCTCTAATCTGGAATAATTTTAAAAACACTAAATAATAGCAGAAAAAAATTTTCCGCCTATCAACAATCTAATTTCCCAGATCTTACCACTAAATATCAAATTAATGAGAAATATAATTATTAATTAGAAATTAAATCGAAATCTACTCCGAAAAATTAATTTTCAAGCAATTAGTTAATTATAATCAAGCAATCGGCAAAAAAAAATTGTAATTATAATTTAATATTTTAGAAAAAAAAAATTAATTTTTGTTTCCCTCTAAAAATGAAGTTGCGTTTTAAAACAAAACTAATTTTTTTTTTCCCCACGCTGTGCAAATTACGATGATGAATTATCGTTTCGAAAAAGAGTCATCGCGCGCGCGCGCATAAATATATATTATCGATCTAGATGCGAAGGAAAAAAGGTGAAAAAAAAGATCGTTTGACGCGAGAGTCAAGTATATGGATAATATAAATATACGCAAAAAGACGATGCTAATGTTTTTGAGATGAGGAGAAACAAGGAGAGGAATGAAAATGGAAAGCTCCACCTACTTAAGAAAGAGGGGTACTCGCGTCTCACGGATCGCATCCATCATTCCGTGGGGGCGTACTTACAGGGTCTTTAATCTTTTCTCCTTGGTGGTATAGTTTTCTCTTCTCCCGTGTTAAACCCCTTCTTCCTTTTTTTTATTTTCTCTTTTTTTTCTCTCTCTTTTATTTATTTTTTTCAAACTTGTTCGCACGATCATTGAATATGTCATATGAGGATTTAGAGTATAATAAATATATCTCATTCGATTATAGGGCAATTCTCCTGAAACATATATTTTATACGGAAACTTGGAAAATTGTTGACAAGCAAATTGGCTACTTAAAAGAATTTTTCTTTAACTATACAACAGTTTGAAAAATTTACAACGGTATTTGCTAATAGTATAAGATAAATTTCACATTAAATTGAAATTATCCGAATTCTGAGAAATTTTGTCCAAAGAATTAACGTAATTTTATTGAAGACTTTTTAATAAATTTTTGTTAAAAAAAAAATTGATTTTTTTTGCAATAATAATATGGAAAATGCAGTAAAGTAATTTATCTTCAGGCGGTAAATTTTTATTTAGGATATTGCGCGAAGCGAGAGATTCAGGTCGTTTCATTAATGAAGACTAACCTTCGGTGTGCGCGACACGAAGCTTTTGCGGTTTTAATGTTCGACGCGCGCGGCAAACAATCTAAATGGTAATCCAATACCACACCCTCTTTGTAAAAAAAAAAAAAAAAGAAAAATGAAAAAAAAAACCGAAACTGCGCTTTGGCGCATGTGTGAATCCAAATGACGACAAAAAGCGTTAACAAGACTATACGCGATGGCTGCCGCGCGTATATATGGTCTGCGATTCCAACCCCATATTTTCTCTTTCTTTTTATTTTCTTTCGCACCACCCCCTTTGAGTTCGTCATCAGACATTAAAAAGAAGCTCAAACTGTAATTATCTCACGTTTCGTGTATATAAAAATAATAATTAGCTTCCTCAATTAATATTTCCGCATTAATTACAGACCCAACACATTTGGCACTAATTATAAAATCCTTTATGGCAAAAAGAGGTCCTTACAAAACGACGCCCACGTTTTTTTTTATATTTCAATTAATTCACAGAATAATTACTATTTTTATATTTCAATTATTCACATATTAATCAATATTATCAGCTGTATTTTTAACTAAATTCAAATTTAAAAATAAAAAAATTTTTTGCATGTCTAATGCAATTTTAATCTCGAAAATGATAAAAAAAAAAAAAAAAAATTTGTAATATCTAATGAAAATATTTTAATATTTCAAGTGTACCAAATATAACCAAATATTATATTTAATAAATAAATACTATCAGTTATCAAGTTTTCCGAGTTCAAAAAAAAAAAAAAAAAAAATGCATGCAGAGAAAATAAAGGTAAAATTTGTGTGTGTGTATATTATAAAATTACTTGCCTGACGCACCTGTTTGAACTGCTCCTCGAAGCTCCAGCTGGTTTGTTGTTGATGTGAATTTCCTTGTGAATTATTTTGCGAATGATTACTACTGTCACGTTCACGTGTTGTTTCAATTCCATTACGAGCGCTACTTTGTGACGATTCACTAGAATGTGAACTTGCCGATGATGTCATTGCATTGCCGCCACCACCGCCGCCGCCACTGTCACCATTGCCTCCACCCCCAGACAGTGAATGACTATTTTGACTATGATGATGCGGTGGTAAAAATGCCGGTGGCAATGGAAATGAAAATGGCAAATTAAAATTACCATTTCCGCATGCCGCTTGCAATGCCTCGAGTCCTTTTTGATTACTCAGTGCTTCCAGATCATTCTTTAAAGAAAACAAAAATTTATTAATTTCAAATAGCCAATAGTTGATTAATTAATTCATTTTTCTTTTTCTTCAAAATTATAATTATTACAAAAATTCTAAAATTTTATTATTTTCCAGATAAATCAAAAACCGATTTGAAAAAAAAAAAAAATGACAAATCGAAAAATTAATCTACGGCGAAATTCGATTAAATTACAATTTTATCAATTTTATCGGTTCAATGTAAAAGAATTAAATTATTAATTTTCACAAATATAAATATGGTTCAATAAAAATTCAATTAAATACAAATTCTTTCGTTAATTCTGTTAAATTAAAATCCCGCCCAATAAAAATTCTTTGAAAAAAAATCCAAATAAATAAAAATTCCATCAAATTCGATTAAATTAAAAATTTTGTTAAAATTATAAAATTAAGTGAAATACATATAAATATATATTTAACGTTAAATAAAAATTAATTCAAAAGAAAATTCGGTTAAATAAAAATTCCATCAAATTTGAATAAATTAAAAATTTGGTTAAATATAAATTTGGTCAATAAACAAATTCGATTAAATAAAAATTCTATCAAAATCAAATTGAATTAAATTAAAAAATTAGATGCAAATTTGGTTAAATAAAATTTTTTTTATAAGAAAATTTCACTAAACGAGAAAAATAGGGTAAAAAATAAATTTGCTTAAATTTACAATTTAAAAGCAAACTTTTGGTAAATTAAAATTTAGCCAAAAGTTCAATTCCAACTTTTAGCTAAATAAAAATTTTCTTAATAGAAAATTCCATTAAATAAAAATTGGAACAAATACAAATTAGGTTAAATTAAAATTTGATTAAAAGTAATTATATTGAGAATATAAATAAATAAATACGCGGTAAGAAATTAAATAAAAATAAATTTCAATAATTTTATAAATCAAAATGAAAATTCCATGTTTTTCCATAGAAATAAGTAGAAAACTTATAAAGTATATAAATAAATATTCTAAAAAAATATTCTAAATTTTACAAAAACTTACCTCCATTTTCAATTTCGACAAAAAATGTGGATGATGAGCATTCATGAGACTATTTAAATGAGACATTGGCGTTGGTGTACTAACAGGAATTGAACCAACTTCCTGTGAAGAATGATTGTTACCCTGAAGGGGTTGTTGTGGAAGTTCCTCACCACTTTCCTCATCCTGGAGATCTGGATCTGATAAATCTTCTTCTTGATGTGACTGCAAAAAAAAAAAAAAAACAATACACCATTAGAATTTCATCTCTAATTTTCAACAAAAAAAATCTTACCATTTTTAAAAGCAATTCATTATTATTAAACGATTAAAAAAAAAAAAAAAATACAATTACATGTGAACGGCCATTTTGTATAGAAAATTTATAGGTCGCTCGATAGGCGATTATCAACTCTCGAGTATAATTGTGTGGAAGGAGGACAGATATCAAGACATTAAACATTAATTAGGAAAATGGCGACTTGCTTATAACTTTTTTTTCCAAGAGATAAGTGTCGCCTTATCAAAAAAAAAAAAAAAAAAGAAAAAAAAATTGCATTATATTATTCTACGGATGTCATATAAGTGTAGTGTTTTATGACTGCAAAAAAAAGGCACATATTATTCAAATGCGCTAAAAAGGACAGAGAACATAACCTTGTTCAACGGAAACGCATTATTTTCGTCTAAAACTTTGCTCATATTTGCACAAAAATATATTATTATAACAAAAATAATCGTTGGGCAATTATATAGCTTTAATTTTTTTTTTTGTCCAAAGCAGTGGAAAAGAAAACCTTGTAAATCGCGCCAGTTTTCCATTGCGAATAATAATAATAATAATAATAATAATAATAATAATAGCTACAAATTAAGCTCGCTCATAAAATTCTATTTAAATTTGCATTGTAATTTTAATATTTAGTAATAATTTAATATTATCATTAATATTCAACCTTAACATCGGTTTTTTTATATATTGATGACAATTAGCATTTATATTAATTTTTTTTATAATTTATTTTATTTTTGTTAAATTTTGCCTGGATTTTTGATAATAAAAAATAGTTTTCAATTGTAAAAAATGAAAGTTATATTCTCACGCTCTTGTGTATAATAATTGAGCTATATCTATATAGAAATTACATCGTGAGACTGTCCGCTCACCTTTTACTGATAAAACCGTTAATGTGCCCTGTCATCCAACCTACATCCTTTTTTTTTTTTTATTTTTAAATTCTCCACTCTTTTTTTTTTTATGCATCGCCCGCATATTTATCATCCATTAATTTCTGTATTTCCGTCAAAAACATTTTTCGCACGGTAACTTGTTAATTATTTATTAGCATTTCTCGAAACTATTTAATATTATACTTTCAATATTTATTTTTTTTTCAACGGATATATCAAATGTGCGGGCAAAAATTAATTTTTTTTTAAAAAAATTTATTTGATAATTTGATAATTCGATGTTCACTGAAAACGAATCACGTCTCTTCCTTCATTTCAATAATTATATGGATGAATGTCGGGTGGCAACATCCGGACTAACAACTATTGTTCTCGAGGGTGTCAGACGAATGTAGGTGTCTAGATTGAGTTGAAGAAAAAATAAACCGGAGACAAAAATAAACCGAGAGGAAATTGACAGGTGAATAAAATAAAATCTAATTTAATAAAAAAAATAAAATAAATATTAAAATTAAAAAAATATCAAGTCATATTGTATCGATATATGTATTTTCTGATTAAAAATCAATAGATCTAGGGTTCGTTGGTATGAATTATATGAACTCAGGTAAGAGAGTGTCACCCCAAGCAAACAAGTGGGCGCGGCTTTTATCCTCCCCACGAGACTTTAAAGAAAATCATCACGCTTCCGGAGTTGAAAACCATTTATATTCCATTTATAGAAAAGGCATTTTTTCAACATGAAAATCGAAAGAAAAATTGAGAGTTGGAAAAAAATGGCAGAAAATATTATTTAAAAAAATTTTTTCTCATAATCACAAGTGGATGATAATGATTATTTTTCAAGTCTAATTATTTATCTTGTTTTCAAAAGGGAGGGGGGGGGAACCACCAATCTTCTTTGCATAATTTAGCAATAAAATAAAGGTGCAATTTGTATAAAAAAGCAATGTGACACACAAAGGACATTTGTCACTTTTTCCTCGTGACCTATCATTAGGAAACACCACCAGGTAAAATTAACACCCTGTGCAAACAAGAGGGAGTGGTCTCTGATGTTGAAAAAAAATCTCCAGACAGGCAGTTTTCAATCTTCAAAAAAAAAAAATCAAATTTAAATTTTATCACTCTTAATAATTGGAAATTTCAATTTTTACTAATTGTAAAAAAGACGGATAAAAAATGAAATTAAAAAAATTAATAAATAAAAGAAAATATTTGTAAAAAATAAAATAATTTTTTTATTAAAAAAAGAAAATATAAAAAAATTGGATAAAATTCCATTGTCAATAAATTTAATTTCATAGTTTCGTGTGTTTTGTTTTTCTCTCTCTCTCTCTTTTTTTTGCAAATTTCAATTTGTCCCCGAGGACAACAAAATATGTTGATTTTAAGCTTTACAAATGAGTACTTTTCAAAATATGGACCACCCTCATATACGAATTCTGTTAAATTTAGAATTATTCATTTTTCTTTTGACTCTCTCTCGTCTCACGCGCACTTCATCATCTGGGTTTGCGCGCCGCGGTCATATATCGCGAGCGCGCGCTTTTCATAGAATTTCACACGTTTATTTGAAAAACGATTACGTTCGAGTTTGAAGAAGTTCGTTAGCTGATTATACGATTTTTTTCTACCTCTTTTTTTTACACGTATACAATAAGCTTATCATTATAAACACATGTCTCGAGAAATCTGGGACAAAAAAAAAAAAAGAAACTCAACAATTATACAATATAAACATTTATATACACATTTAATATAAAAATATCAAATTAATGTCAAAAGTATTAAATTGATATAAAAATTTTTTTTTGATTAATTCGATACTTTTAAATTAAGCATGAATTTCACATAAAAAAGTAGTTCAAAATTTTTATTTTAACGAATTTTAATTTAGTTTCTAAAATTATTACTAAATTAATTAATTTCTAAATTTGTTAAATCTAATTCGTTTTTAGAATTTTTGTAGAATTAACATTTTTTTTTTCAAGACGGAAATTTTTTATTACAATTTCCAAGGAAAGCAAAAAGGGCTAAAATTCATCTATAATAGAGATGAAAACGATGTCCAGGTGTAAGATTTATCACCAACTCTATTCGATTGTTTTTATAGTTGCGCCTCAGCCGTAACAAAGCAAGACAAGACAGAAAACGCGTACCTTCTACATATGCATAATGTTCGGCTTATAAATCATCGCACTAACAGCTTCGGGCTCAATACAACGACTTTAAATCTTGCAATTATCGTCGTTTCTTTATAACTGAAACGAACAAATCTTTTCTCCTCTCAATATCGTTCAATCCCTTCTCTCTCTCTCTCTCTTTCTCGAGTAGAAAAAAAAAATTAACGATCCAAAACAAGGACAGTTTGTATTCGTGGAAAGGTGTTAAGAAACGCATTTATATATATATATATATATATATATATATATATATATATATATCTACCCATATTCTAGGTTTATGTTTATTCCAACATTGTTGCAATCCCAGACGTAATTCAATCATTGACATCAAAATTAAAGTCGATAACAAAACTTCAACTTCGAAAATCATGAAAATTTATTCTCCAACGTGATTTTTTTTATAAAGAAAAATTAGAAATCAACATTATTCAATAGATTTTCAATGTTCTAAGGAAAAAAAAAAATTGCTATTCACCTGACTTGTAATTATTATTTACAAACTAAAAACATAAAAGACCCTATACAATCTAGTTGTGTGTGTGATTTGCATGTTGCGTAAGATTTTTTTCAATTATAGTAGACAAGTCATTGTAATAAAGTTTTGAGGAATTTTTAAATTGCTTTTTTCATGATAATTATCATTTAAACAATTCTTCCACTCAAGTAGAACTATTCTTAGAAAAAAATAAATTCAAAAAAAAACCTCGATTTTGATTAATCGGTGACAATTTAAAAAAAAAAGAATACAAAAAAGAAAATTTTTTAATTGAGACAATATTTATGTTCCCGTATCGTTATTTTTCAATATTGGGAATTTTTTCCTTTATCGAATGAGAATTCAAAAAAGATTTTCCTTTGGTCTTCATTAATCATTGAATGATGGATAAGGTGAAAATCAAGTTCCTCTCTCTCTCTTTCTATCTAAAGCATCGGGGTTCTTTTTCCTTTTTTGCGGCTCGTGGGTGTCTATATGACAAACTACCAAAGAGGCCCCATAGTGCACAGAAGGTGGTCTCTCAAAACGACAAGAACACCATAATACCAAACGTATTATACGGCTGATTAATTCAAATCGATGTATATATTATCTCCCCACCAAAAACATTTTCGATTTCTATCTAAAAAAAAATTTACAAAGAAAGAAAACTTTTTACTAAACAAAGTGACAAGTATAAAAATAACAATTCTACAAGGAAAAAAATTTGCAAAAAAAAAAAATAAACTTTATCTGCTAAGAATTGCTAATGGTGTAAAAAAGATCATTACAATAATTACCTTGTAAAAATCTCGATTTTCAACACAATCTAATATATATAACAAAAGAAAGTTATCTACCTGGCACCACCTTTGACTATATAATATATTGTTTAAACAAGCAAAAAGCCACCCATTTAAAGACATTCTTATCGATTATGCGTTTGCATGTACATTATTATATACATATATATATACATCGATTGTCACCAATATAAAGTTTCCGATAACGTGAAATTTACATTTTCATTATAGGAAAAATTAATTTAATTTTTTGAAACAAGAATTTTATTCTTTTTGAAAGAAAAAGGATTTTAATTTTTTAAAGAGAGAAATATAAATCTTCGCTGAATTTGAAAAAAAAGAATTCATAATAAATTGTGAAATTTTATGAACTAAAAAGTAGAATTTAATTTTATGGTGTGAGAACTTGTCATAATTCTTCGTCATGAGTTTTGTGTGTATATATATATACATTGAAAGAAGAAATAAATAAACAGCCTTAGCTTCACCACTGAAATCTATTTATGAACGTCAAGAGATTGTATTTTAAAAAAGAGGGTGATGATAAAAACTATATAAAAAAAGGAA